AAATATATAAATTTAAATGATAAATATATAATGATATATACTATATACATAAAATATAATAAATATATGAATCTAGTTTTAAATTTGTATTTCATTTTTTTGCATTTAATCCACTGCAACCCTTTTGCTTACATCAACTTCCTTTCAGATTGTCCATCCTCCACTATTCAGTGGTACCGATCTAGAAGTCAACAACTGGGCGAAAGTGCTGCCTGGAGAATTGGCAGATTCTTGTCAGGCTAGAGCGACGAAAGGTCCGGTGTCTCGTGATCAGACCACAGCCAAACGAGGAGGCAAGACTGCGATTTCTCGGGGCCTCGTGAATGGGCTACTTTCGGTCGGCCAAAAGACAACCCCGCGCTCTCAGTCCTGTATCCCTCACCGAGGCCAGACCGACGGTCTAGCCAGTCAGCCTAACAGAGTGAACTTTGGAGGTGATGTGAGGATGAAAGAAAGCGCCAGACCGGCAAGGTCGGGCAGAGAGACTTTCGTGGTTTTTGAGAACAGCGACGCCGTCTCCACAGACGTCAGTGAAGAGGCTTTGGATCGACTGGAGACCGAGATCGGACCAGCCGGATTGCCTGTAAATGTGAGGTCAGAAGGTCAATGCTTTGATCCGAATGGTGCACCCGAGCTGATCTCTTTTGCCCTCAGCCTATCCCCGAACAACTCGGAGGTCATGGATTGCCGAACCAATGGTCCTGGATCCTCCAGCCCGCAAGCCTCTTCGGGAGCCAGTCATGAGGCAAATGTGGCCAAACAAGGCGTTAATCCTGCTCGTGTCAAGAACTCACACAACACAAGAACAAAGGTCAAAACCCAAAATGGATCCCACCATCCGGGTGTGTCTGGCAGCTTTGTATAGTGTACTAATTCAAATATAGGCCATGTTAGGCAGAATAGAGGTCGGCAAGTTGGTACCGACCCCTCGACGGCAGCCGACTCAGGAGCCAAATGAAATCCCATTATTTTTTTATTCACACTTCACAACTGTCCCTCTTAATCAAGTTTCTTCATAGGCCATTATGTCAAAGGTTCTACTGATTGCAAGCCCGAAAAATGGACGGAGCTGAATGTGTTTATGGCTTAATCTTCACTGATATGCTAGTTTTGGGATAACTTTTATAGAATTAGAATGAAACAAGAGTTTTCGACATGCTGACTTTCAGATGCAGTCACAAACCTGACTTTATAGGCTTGTCTGACGCTGAAGCATACAAGCCGGTTGAATTGCAATAGATGCTGAATGTGATAATATAAATTTACGTGAGATATTTTTAAAATATAAAATAAGTAAACATACCAACTGAATTATTAAAGAGGTCAGAGCCAGAGTTCCCTACTGGCCTTCAGATGGTCTATCCTCCAATCTGGGATATGTCAACAACTCATGCTCGCATATACTTCTATGGTTGGTTCATGTGTATATTCACAAAATACCTGACGATGAGGTAAAGTTAATCTTTTCTGAAACTAATGAATTTGCTTTTACGTCCTTTTGGTGCACTTTTGCAAACGGCTTCCCAGAGCGACGTGAATAAATAAATTCGAATAAATTTCTTCATAATGTCGTAGCTTTGGGGTTTGCATGTTCCCTATAATGAAGGCTAGTATAGAAATAAGCACGTTTGGGACTTTTCTGGAAACGTCAGACAACGGAAAACCAATTTTTAATGAATAAAAAGGTATTCCACTTGAAAAGCAAAGTTTCCATTTCGTCGACCCATTGTCTTTGATCTAAATCAGTTGCTTCTGCAGACAGTTTACCATAAAGTAAAGGTCAATTTCCAGAATTTCTGTAAAAAGGCACTCTTGATCGAACAATATAGTTAGGCTACTGAACCCCTCGAAATTACATACTCAGTCCTAAATTGAGCCTTCATCTCCGACGTGGCAATCTTTGATGTAGATCTACCTAGAAACTGTCAGTAATCAAAACTTGGTCATTCGACCGCACATTTCTTTGCCAACTGAAACCATCTTCAACGACCGAAGGGGATTCAGCTCATCTGCAAGCATGGGAAAGAGCACTTCAGTCTTCTGTTCTGGCAATACAAGTTGAGAGAAACGACAAGGTGCATGGCACAAAATTGAATATAGACACGACAGGAGCAGGTTTACAGACATCATTTCCAACCCCTTTAAGTGGGATGAGACTAAGGAACCAAACGAAAAGAAACAGTGTCACTTTTTGAAGTAGATCCAGCCGTCTGAAAAGGTGGCTCTATTTACCTTCTTAAACGGTAGCACAAATGAGGACTTGTACCCACACCTTTTGAAGGCTAGCCGAGACACGAGGTCAGGATGTCAACAAGTGACACTTCAGTGTCAAATAGCGGCAGGGAAAAATGTTTCGGGCTGGGAAAATGAGGCAGCTTGTGGGAAATTTTACTAGCTGTCATGGAAACCAGGTAGCTTTAGTCAGGTACAAAGCAGCATATCTACGCGAAATTAGGGTGGTACGTCAAATAAATAGTAATTAAGGGAAAAATTAATTAGATCTGAAATAGACCAAACCGGATAGTGTAGGCGAGTGAAGCGAAAACTAATTAAGCTGACTCAAATGTTTCGGTAAAGGCTGAGTGGCGCGAATGATACAAGCCAAGTACAGCGTGGCAGTGAGGCACTTTTGGAATGCAGTGACTTGAATTATGCCGTAAAAACTTGAAGTCGCCCTTAGTTACTGCTTGATAAACTTTAATTTTCGACAGCTTGCCAGTGCAGGACGCCCTGTACCTGACCAATCGACAAAAACAGGCTAACCCCACATCTATTTGGACCAGCCAGCAACCCAATTAAGATGGTGTTTATCGCCGACTTGCATAAGTGTTATGTAGATTTCGCGGTATCTAAGGCGGAAAAATTACAAAGGAAGATTGTGCACTAAGATGGTCAGACTTTGGCAAGGAGGGATTCATAGACAACAAAGTAAATATGATGCGTGTGAATTTGTGGTTGGGCCACAAAACCACTTTTATGCTTAACCAAATCCTTTTACTCTATCCCCTAGTCCAGCAGTTTTCCACCAACATTTCTTTATGATGTGCACTTCATGTGATAATGTTAACATCGGTTTAGCTGCATTAATTTTTGCAGGTTTAGACGAAAAAATGCTGAAAAACTGCCATCTACATTAACAATTTTATTGGTAGTAGCGAATAAGACTTCTGAAAATAATTTCGAACTTTCCTTTTAAGATAGCCGGTGTCGAACTGGCCTAGCAATCCTATACAAGCGCGTGGCAAACTTAGTTTAAGCATCGTCATCATTTTAATGTTTAGTGGATTGGGAAAAAGGCTGTCCCACATTTTTAAAACGAACACAACTTTAACAAAAATAGTTCTGATAATATATCTGCGGAAAATGTTCGCCTTCAACAATTGACCTAAACATAATACAGATTCTTACATGAGCAGATACATACCTGAATTCACCTAAAGTAAAACACAATAGAAAATACAAAAAGATTGGACTGACACAACAAAAAGTGTAAGAGAGGACAGAATCTATATTTTAGAGCGAAAAAATCTTAATTGACATTGGCCTATTTATTTTAGATAACCAAAATGAGAGGCAGTAAATTGACTATTCTATTAAGAAGATATTGCTATCTATTGAATAAAGGATGGAAACCATTAGAATTATCTGTCCTGGAATCAAATAAACCAGAATTGTCAGCAAAAGTTAATATGTATTATTTCCAAAGGCTTTTTGTCTTTACCTCCCAGGTATTTCTTTTGCGTAGGTCAAGAATAGTTGGGCAATTTGAAGAAAAGAAATATAGGATTAAATATTGTTTACGGCAAGTAAGGATCAAAATTGTTCAAAATGAATAAGTATAACGAATTCAGCTGCAACAGGGGGGGTTCTAGCAAGTCTGAACTTTCAGAAATTAGTATTCTGCATGACTGGATAGAAGTCTGAGGGTATTACTCATAAATATATTATCCCATCTAAACTTTACGCCTTAAGTAAGCTTAGAATTTATGCAAATAGAAAAATTAAACCAAAAATTAGAATTCTTAATTTAACCAAAATATTTGAAATCCCGTAAAATTATCGCATGCCTAGTACGATCATACAGTTCATGTAGATGTAATAATAATTTTGCTTTTCAATACAATATTCTTTTTTAATTATCCCATTAGATTCATCAATGGATATACTATCGAATTCAGGCATTCTCCAAATACCAAAATAAGCACTTTGCTCAATGGTAAAATTTATAATAGGCATAGAGAGGATAGGACAATTTGAGTTGTGAAAAATAAATTCCATTTCCCTCGTTATCGAGCACAAGAAATAGATTTATTATAATTTCTAATTTGCATTGAATCATCTCTAAATGCGAAACGGAAAATCGGGGTAATTTTCAGAAATTTTTAGATACCGTTAATTTAAAAAGTGTTGCTATTTTTTGTGATGCAAAATTAATAGACTTATCAAATAAATTTTAATTACAATAAACTTTAATTCTACACTCATTTAACTGTAGAAGGTAATGAACATGATGCAAGTAGATAAAGCAGAAGTTCCTTTAAATTTTCTTCCAATAGTCTGTGGATGCTTAAATTCTTCTCTCATCATATACATATAGAAAGTAAGTCACGTTTAAGGAATATATATTAACCTAAGCCTCTTCCGAGTAACAGGACAATAGAGATCGTAAGATAAACTTCACTGAGTTGATAAATTAAATTTATAAC